TTTGATCCTTGGGTTATTTACAAGTATACATTTGATTTGTAAATATTTACCTATTTTTCCTAGATAGAGCTTCATTAATGTTTTCTAATTCCATAGTACCTAGTCCCTAGTCCATAAGATTTTATTATTTTGAAAAACTTATTGATAGTTTTTAATGGCCCATTTTATTGAACATACTATTTGCATTTCAAAAGAATATGTAGTCAACACTTGGATATACTCTATAAATATCATTTAGCAGGTGAAGGTGATTGATAATGCTCAGATTTTCTTTTTCCTTTTTTCTTTCTTGTTGTTAATTGCTGGGAGGGAAGTTAAAATCTCCTACTATGATTGTGGGTTTGTATATACTTTAATTCTAATCATTTTGCCTTCATATATTTTGAGGCTGTTATTAGAGTCATAAACCTTTGTAATTGTTATGTCTTCCCAGTGAATGGACCCTTTCATCATTTTGAAATGTCTGTTTCTGAAATCTATTTTATCTGTTAAGATAACCACTCCTGTATTCTTTTGCTTACTGACTGCATGGTATGTCTTTTACGAACTTTCAAGCTGTCTGTGTCTTTGTATGTATTTACAGTATATCCCTTGCAGATAACGCTTATCCATTCTTGACAATATGATATTTAATTGGTGTCTTTAGTGCATTTATATTTAATATAATTCCTATTTTGTTTGGATTTGGATGTACAATTTTATCATTTGTTTTCTCTTTGAAAAGACTGTTTACTATTTTGCTATTCCTTCTTTCCTGCCTTTTTTGTATTAATAGATTTTTTTAGAATTCCGTTTTTATTCTTTTATTGACTTTTTAACTATTCTTCCTTGCATTGTTTTTTGGGTGGTTGCTTTAGTATTGAAAATATACATTATCAAACTTTCACAGTGCACTAAAAGTTAATGTACCACTTTATGTAAAGTGTAGATATCTTGTAGTAAAGAAGATAACCCTATTCTTATTTTAAGGAAAGTGAGAGTTAAGAAAGTTAAGTATACCTATGCTACGTATCTAATACCTAATACCTAAATTTTGAAGGTAAAGCCAAATTTCATTTCCAGAACCAATCATACTTGGATTTTGTATATATGCCTTTTTAAAAATATATTTCTGCATTCCATTTGGTGATTTTAAGAATTTTGCTTCTATATGAGTAAGAGAAATTGACCTGTAAATTTCTTGTATTATAATATTCTTGTCAGATTCTTTTTTTACAAATTTATGTTGAACTTATAAAACAAGTTGAGAACATTTCTTTCTTTCTCTAAACTTTGGAAGAGTTTATTTAAGATTGGCAGTGGGTAGACTTGGTTGGTGAAGCCACCTGGCTCTTAGTTTTATTTGTGGAAGGATTATAATTTGTATTTAAATTTCTTTACTAGCCATGTGAATGTGTTGTTTTTCTTTTGGATCAGCTTTGAAAAATTTGATTCTGTTTCTCCATTTCATCTAAATCAGTAGTGTCAAACTCAAACTCGTTTTCACCAGGTATCACATCAGCTTTATGGTTGCCTTCTAAGGGCTGAATGTAATTTTAGGGCTGTATAAATGTTACTACTCCTTAACTGGGGGCAAGGAGCTTGGCTTTGCCGCCAGGTAGAAACAAGGTGTGAGGCTGGATAAAAAAACAAGGTGGAGGGCTGGACTCAGCCCCTAGGTCTTGTGTTTGCCACCTGTGATCTAATTTTCACAATTTGGGCATAACATTGCTTATTATGTCCTGTATGTATTTTTTGTGTTCTCTTAGGTTCTCTTCTTTTGTTATTTTTGTTAGGGGTTTATCACTTAAAAAAATCTTTGCACATAGTGATCGTTTGGCTTTGTTGATCCTTTGTATTGTATGCTTTTTTATTTCATTAATTTGTTTTTAAATGTTCTGTTATTTTTATAGATTTTTGAAATAGATTCTTAAATATCTGATTAGCAGCCTCTCTTCTTTCCTAATATATGCATTTAAGTTCCTAAAGCATGACTTTAGGTGAATTCCACATGTTTAATATGTAATTGTTACCTATTATTATTCAAATCAAATTATTTTCTAATCTTCATTCTGAGTTCTTTAAACTATATTCCTTACTTTCCAAACATTTGGGGATTTTCTGCTTGTATTTTTATTATTACTACCTTCTTGCATTGAGATCAAAGAACATATTCTACATGATTTCTGTCTATTGAAATGTATTGAGATTTACTTTATAACCTTGCATGTCAATTTTGGTAAATGTTTCATGTGATATTGGAATGCTCCAAAGAATTTCAGAAGGAGGTTAATATGTGTTTTATAGACTATAGTAAACCTTTTGACTGCACTGATCGTGAAAAACCATGGGTTGCTCTGAAGGAAATGGGCGTGCCTCAAGCACTTGGTTGTCCTGATGTGAAGCCTGTATCGTGGACAGGGAGCCACTGACAGGACAGACTGTGGGGAGATGCAGTGGTTTCCTTTAGGCACAGTTGTCAGGCAAGGGTGCTTTTTAATGCCTTGTTTAATCTGTATGCAGAACATATACAAAAAAAATTGGGCTAGATGCAGAAGGAGGAGTGAAAGTTGGTGGAAGAAATATCAATAACTTAAGATATGCAGATGACACCATCTTACTGGCAGAAAGAAGAACGCTGATAGGAAAAAGGTTAATTCATTTGAAATGTAATGTTGGAGAAAATATCTAGAGATACCCTGTACTGCCAGAAAGACAAGCAAGTCCTAAAGCAAATGAAGTCTGAAACTTTACTGGAGGCAAAAATGACAAAACTGAAGCTGTACTATTTCAGGCATATCAGGAGAAGTCAGGGTTCTTAGGGAAAGACAATAATGCTGGGGAAAATAGAAGGCAACAGGAAAAGAGGAGAACTAAATATGAGATGGATTGACCTCATGAAGAAGCTGAACACATGAGTCTGTGCAGGCCTAAGCAGGGCTGTTGAGGACAGGACATTGTGCACATCACTGTGCACAATGATTCATAGAGTCACCAGGATTCAGAGATGACTGAACAGTAGCATAGAATACACAAACTTTAAATGAAACTGTGTTTTGCAGCAGCATGCAATGTCCTGTCAGTTGTTCATTAGGTGAAGTTTGCTACCTATGTTATTCAAATAGTCTACATCTTTACTGATTTTGTTCTTAACTGAGTCATTTCAAAATCTACCATTGTTCTAGTAGTTTGTTCACTTTTAGCTCTTGCATTCTTCTAGTGACTACACCAGAGATTACAACAGATACTCTTGATTTGTCAAAATTTTATATGAATTAGTACTTTTATTTTCTCCTGGACAGCACAGGAACCTGTGAATATTAATAACTAATTATTATTTATGTGAATAATAAATAACTAATTATTAATAATCAATACATGTGCCTTTTCTAACTCACATACATTTATTGGCATATCTTTTAATTCTTCTGTTATTTAATTCCATCAAAATATATTCATTATTTTTGCTGTCTCTAGTTTTCCGCTGCATGACTTAGTGTCTACACAGGATCATTTTCTTTGTGCCTGAAAACATCCTTTAGTTATTTTCTTTAGTGTGGCTCTTTTTGGTGATGAATTCTCTCAGTTTTGTTTGTCTGAAAGTATCTTTATCTTCATTCTTCAATGATAATTTTACTGGTTATAAAACTAGATTGCTTTTACTTTCTTCAGCACTTTGAAAGTATTATTCTATTGTATAATGTCTTCCATTTTTTTTGCTGCAAGGTCAGTTATTTGTCAAAGTGTTGCTTTTTTTTTGTAGGTCATCTGTTGTGTTTTTCCTCTGGCTGCTTTTAAGATTTATTTTTAATGTCTCAAGTTTTGAGCAGTTTTTAATTAAGTACCTACTTGTGGGTTTTCAATTTTTATTTATATTTATGGCTTGATGTTCATAGTGGATCTGCATTGTATGGCTTGATTTTTTTTTTTCAGTTTTTAAAAGCTGTCAGCCTTTATCTTTTGAAATACTCCTCTTCACCATTCTTTTTCTTCCGTCACTTGGGATTGAAATTATAGGTATCCCCAATCAAGCTAAAAATAATTAATTTCCTATAGCTTTGCTCATTCTCTCACTTTTTTTAGGTTTTAATATTTATGTAATTTATTTTTTAAAGGAAATCAATTCCGCCCTGGCTGGTGTAGCTCAGTGGACTGAGCATGAGCCTGTGAACCAGAGGATAGCAGTTCTATTCCCAGTCAGGGCACCTGCCTGGCCTGTGGGCCAGTTCCCAGTAGGGGATGCACGAGAGACAACCATACACTGATATTTCTCTCCCCTCTTCCTTCCCTTCCCCTCTAAAGATAAATAAACAAAATCTTAAAAAAAAGAAAATCAATTTGTTTTCCTCATATAGAGATCTCATACTTTTCCCCTTGAGTCTTTAAAACAACCCTGCCAATATTATTATTGCCGTTTTTACATATTTTTACAGTTATTCAAAGAAGTTAGGAAACTGGCCCACACATAGCTGCCAAGCAACTAAAGTCCAATTGATTAACTATTTCTTGCTCTTTATTATATAAGGTTATGTTTCCTTTTTTCTATATCTTTCTCACTTGATTTTTGGAATGGTATATATATTGATGAGTTATCTTAGTTTGTCTTAAAATAACATTGCATCATTTCATTTATATTTACTAGGTAAACAAGTACACAAATTTATGAGCTGAGCATTCTCCCCTGAAGGAATTTCTTTTTTTAGCAAGGAAAAAATATATACAGTTTATTCTAACAGAGAATATGAACAGTTAGTTTCTATGTATCAAAACAAATTAGAAGATAATGTCCCAACTGATGAGATCAAGAAATAATTCATTGAGTAGGTAGAACTTATGAAAGAGATGGCAGTTTGAGAATTCTTTTTACCTCATTCAAGGATAACATGTGTATTATATATCTATTTGTTAATGTGAATAAAGAAAACCAATACTAGGGTTTGTCACTAATTAGGTTGTCAGTCATATAAGCAGTAAAATATTATCCATCATGTTAAATATTGATTGAAAATGTTTTTTTCCAGGTTATTTCATTTTTGGCTGCAGTTTTGCATAAAAAGGGAACTCGTGAGGATATTGAAAATAACATGCCCGAGTTTTTACTAAGAAGTCTGAAAAAGGAACCTCCTCCTTCAGTAGCAAAAAAGGTAAGACATCTAGGAGCATATGTGTATAGCTCATGAAGCTTACATTGCAAAAACAAAATTTTAAACATCACTCATAGTATAAATTTCAAACATGAGAATTTTAAAACTTTATTAAAATAATTGTTTCAAATCTAATTTTTGAAGGACTGCCAATTGTATCCTTAAGTTAAATATGATTGACTCTCAGAATGGCAAAATATAATTTCAACTTGAACTTGTTTCGGGGTTTCAGTCTTTTGCTTGGATAGATTTATATGATTTAGTTTGATTAATTTGTTAAATATCTGTGAATGTGCATATAAAGTTGTATATGCACATATAATTGAACTTCATGATACTGTTTTTATTTATGTGAGAATGGAAAGGAGACAGTTGTTGATATCAGTAGCAAAGGTGCAACAGTGACATTTCAAGTTGCTTAAAAAACCACATCTCTAAATATAAAACAAATTTTTCTTATACAAGGAACATTGAAGTTGGAATCAGAAAGACTAAGGTGTAGGCTTATCTCAGTCTCTCTGCATATGGGACAATGAATACAGTCATTCATTGAAAGCTGAATACAATGAATACAATACAGTGAAAGCTGACTCAGGTCCATGTGTCAGCTTTCTCCTTTGGCAGTCTATGTTTCTAAATATCTTAAACATGATTTTTATAAAAAATAAGATCTTTCTAACAAAGTAATGAAATGCAAAAAAGTATACTACATTTATATGTCTTACTTTTGTATTCCTCAGCATCCAGGAAGCTGTATAGAAATGAAGAAAGTGATTTTATGAAGTTATGGTTATATTATGGCCTTGAACCACTTTCCACAAGTTTTAAAAGAGGCTTTCATCCTGGCTGGTGTGCCTCAGTGGACTGAGTGCTAGCTTGTGAACCAAAGGGTTGTTAGTTTGATTCCCAGTCAGGGCACATGCCTGGGTTGTAGGCCAGGTCCCTAGTTGGGGCACTCAGGAGGCAACCACACATTGATGTTTCTCTCCCTCTCTTTCCCTCTTCCTTATTCTCTCTTTAAAAATAAATAAATAAGATTAAAAAATTTAAAAAAGAGGTTCTCATATATAATGTTGTTGAGTCCAGGCTTACCCTTGTGTGTTATTAGGGGCTTTTCAGTGCAAAATTTTGAGAGATACTGGTTTACAATAGGAGTGTCCAACCTTGAGTTGTCTTGGGTCACATATTAAGTACATTGCGATTCATAATCACAAAAAATTTCATAATGTTTTAAGTAAGTTTACAATTTTGTTTTGGGCTACATTCATAGCAATCCTGGGCTGTTAAATTTTCTTTATTATATTTAATAGCACGAATGGATCCTGAATGTCAAATTAAATTCGATCCTAGAAAACATTATGACTTAATGTGTTTTAAATCTCCAAGAGTCCAAGTGCTGTTTTTAGCCGTGGATTCAGTTGTTTTTTGCTTCTAAATGTCAGTGTGGAGCTTACATATGTCTTGTATATCACTTGTGACAATTAGCAGAGGGGAGAGAAAAATAGAGAATGTAATACTTTAAATATTTAAAATTGAAAAAATTTTTTTGAAAGAGCAAGAATGGGAGAACAGAGAAGTAAAGAAAGAGTCATTTGATGGTGTGATGAAATATACTAGTAGCTACCTTAATTAGCATTAAAAGCTGGGCTGCCCGTCTCCCCTTCTTCCCTGCCCCCTCTCTGTGTATGTGTGTGTGTGTGTGTGTGTGTGTGTGTGTGTGTGTATATATATACACATGGATACTATATATATATGTAATTCCTTGCTATAATATGCATTGCTGTTTTTTCTACCTCCTTCAGTTAAATTCTTAATTCATTTACTCTATTTTTGGTCTTTTCTTGTATTTTAATAAATTCCATTAAGGCTATAATGTTACTTTGAGTATTTATATTGGCTTCATTCCATAGTTTTAGATATGTAGTCCTTTCATTATTCTCTTCTAAATTATCTGTGATTTTAGTTTTGTTCTCTTTTACCTACATGCTGTTAAAAAGGAAGTTTTAAAATTTTCTAGTGAATCCATATTATGAGGTGGGCAAGTGCCAGGAGGGCTTACTTAGCCTTTATTGTTGATTGCGTTGTTTTGTTGCATCAGATGAGGATCCATTGCTGACCTGACTTTTTTCCCTTGGAAAGGAATTTTCTTTTTGTTTGAAAGTATGCAAGACTTTTTCTTTATTCATGAAATTTAGAACTCTTTTCAGCCCCAACACTCACTGTAGAATTCTTTTTTTAAAAGTTCTGCTTTAGAAAACTATAGGCAGTACTCTGTTTGGAGGAGGCAGAGTACTGCTGCCAGAACCAGTTTCTCTCAAGGAAATGACTGTGTAACTGTTCTCCCTTTAATAACTGCCATTTATTTTGTTTTCTTAATTTCTTTCCCTAGTAGTTCATTGCTATTATATAGAAACACAGCTATATCAGTTTTTCTATATTGATTTTGTATACTGCAACTGTACTAAATTTATTAATTCTTACAGATCTTGATGGACTCTAAAGAGTTTTCTATATATATCATGTCATCCACAAATAGAGACCATTTTACTTATTTCTTTTCAATTTGGATGCTTTTATTTCTTTTTCTTACCTAATTGTCTTGGATGAGAGTTCTAGTTCCGTGTTTAATAAAAGTAGCCCAGGCTGGCGTAGCTCAGTGGATTGAGCACAGGCTGCGAGCCAAGGTGTTGCTGGTTCGATTCCCAGTCAGGGCACCTGCCTGGGTTGAAGGCCAAGTCCCCACTTGGGGGTACACAGGAGGCAACCACACATTGATGTTTCTATCCTTCCTTTCCTCTCTCTCTAAATAAAAATAAAATTTAAATTGTTTAAAAAATAAATAGAAAAATAAATAAAAGTGACCAAAGAGGGGATCTTTATCTTGTCACTGCTCTTAGAAGAAAAGTTTTTAGCTTTTCATCATTAACTGTGATGTTAGCCATGGATTTGTCACATATAGCCTTAATATTGAAATACATTTCTTCCATACCCTACTTGTTGAGAGGTTTTTAAAAATCATTAAAGGATGTTGAATTTTGTCAGATGCTTTTTTTGCATCATATGTTCATTCTCATATCTACTGAGATGATCATAAAACTTTTACCCTTCATTGTATTAGTATGATGTGCCACATTTGTTGATTTGCCTATGTCGAATTATCCTTGCACCCCAGGAATAAATTCCATTTATTCATGGTGTATGATCCTTTTAATGTACTGTTGAATTCTATTTGTTAATATTGTATTGCAGATTTTTACATCTGTGTTGATCAGAGATGTTGGCCTGTACATTTCTTTTCTTGTAATATCCTTGTGTGGTTTTGGTATGCTGGCCTCATAAAATGAATTTGGAAGTGTTCCTTCCTCTTTTATTTTTTAGAAGAGTTTGAGAAGGATTGTATTCTTTAAATGTTTGATAGAATTCGCTAGTGAAGCCATTTGGTCCTGGATTTTTCTTTGTCGGGAGATTTTTGGTTTCTGATTCAATCTCTTTACTAGTGATTAGTCTGTTCGGATTTTCTATTTTTTTATGTTTTAGTCTTGGTAGGTTGCATGTTTCTAACTATTAATTTCTTCCAGGTTATCTAATTTTCGTCATATATTGTTCATAATGGTTTCTAATAATCCTTAGTGTTTGTGCTATCAGTCATAATGTCTTCTGTTTCATTTCTAGTTTTATTTATTTCATTCATCTTTCTTTTCTCTTAGTCTAGCTAAAGGTTTATTAATTTTCTTTATCTTTATTAAAAACTAGGTCTTAGTTTCAGTGATCCTTTCAATTGTCTTTCTAGTCTCTATTTCATTTATTTCCCACTCTGACTTTTATTATTTCCTTTCTTCTAACTTTGGGTTTAATTTGTTCCTCATTTTCTAGTTTATTAAGTTTTAAAGTTAGGTTCTTTTTTTTTATTCGAAATCTTTCTTTTTTCTGTACGACCCTCTCTGTTGGAACTGCTTTTGCTGTACCCCCTAAGTTTTGGTGTGTTGTATTTCTATTTTCATTTGTTTCAAGATTTTTTCTTTTGACCTACTGGTTGTTCAGGAGCAAATTGTTTAATTTCCACATATTTGTGAATTTTTCAGTTTTTCTCGTCTGATTGATTTCTAGTTTCATATGTGGTTGGAAAACATACCAGATGTTTGATATGATTTCAGTCTTCTTAAGCTTTCTAACTTGTTTTGTGGACTGACATATTATGTATCCTGGAGAATATTTTCTGTGTGCTTGAGAAGAACGTGCATTCTGCGGCTGTTGGATAAGTGTTCTCTGTATGTCTCTCGGATCTGTGTTCTGATGTATAGCTTCAGTGCATTGTTTCCTGACTAAGTTTCTGTCCAGCCAATTTGTCCAGCCATTGTTGAAAGTTAGGTATTGAATTCCCTTATTATTATTGTATTGCTGTTGTTTTCTCTCTTCAGATCTATTATTATTTGTTTTATGTATTTAGATGTTTTGGTGTTGAGTGTGTAAATATTTAAAATTGCTATAACTTCTCAGCAATATAATTTTCTAATGACCTTCTTTGTCTCTTGATACAGTGTTTGGTTTAAAGTCTATATTGTCTGATAGAAATAGAACTAACCCTGCTTATTTTGATTTCCATTTGCATGGAATATCTTTTTCCAGTATTTTACTTTTAGTCTATGTGTCCTTAAAGCTGAAGTCAGTCTCAGGTAGACAACATATACTTGGGTCCTGGTATTTTTTTGTTTTTAACCCATTCAGCCACTCTGTGTCTTTTGATTGGAGAATTTAGTCGATTTCCATTAAAAATGCCATTCCTTTTTATGACCTAGTCCTTTCAACTGCCTCTGCATTGTTGAGGGTTTTTTGTTGTTGTTTTATTTGTTATTATCATTTTTAGGTTCCATCTAGGAACACTCACATTTTTTTTTTTGAAGTGTCCTGTTTCTTAGGTATAGGATGCATTCCTCAGTTCTTCAAGTAAGTCAGTTTTACCTGCTATCACACTGTTCTGATCTGCTGGAAGTGTTCTGTAG